TAATCAATTAATACCTGCACTTGTCTTCGGTCGTGGGATAATCTGAACTCAACGTCTTTCACATCGATGTGCTTCTCATCGCCGGAGCCGTCATCCCTGTCCTCGCCGTCCAGTTTCAACATTTTCCGCCTTTTGGGCGCTTTTCTGTCGTATTCTCTCTTCAATTGACGCAATTGTTTAACCTCTCCGTGTCTTCGGATCCGATCGGCGCTCGACTCATACCTCGAGACATCGGCGGCGCCACCGCTGGTGTCCAACAGACCCGTCTCTTTGAGTATATCCTTGAATTGTTGGCGCAATTTTGTCATTTCGTAGAAGCGTTGCTCTTCGAGGCCGCGCTGTCGGCACCACTTCTTCGAGTTCTGCTGCTCTGACTTGATTTCCAGCCATTTGTTGTACGCATTCAATAGAGTGAAGGGATCGCCTTCTGGCGACTGCAGAGGACGCCTGGCGTCGATGGCCTCTCTGTCGTGAATGGATTGGTTAGTGATCGGCGACTGAACGCTGAGCGCCGCCGCCAACGACAGTATTGGATCCGTTAAGTCAAACACCGAACTAAGAATAAGCATTTTGCCGATCGTTATGTCGACCGGGAGTCGGGCCAGCATTTTGCCCATCGGTGTCAGGCATTCATCGGCGGTTAGAGCCGACTGTTCCTTCAGACTGTCGATCGTTTGTTCGATGCTCTTAAGAGCCGGCGGTTCCAGGAATGGGAACTTTCGGGCGTCCGGTAAACCCATTGATATCATCTGAAGCAGCAGTGAGTGGAGCGGAACGCGTCTGATCTCTGGCTGAGAGTTGTGCTGAAAGGCCTTGAAGTCGGCCTCGGAGTAGAGTCTATAGCAAACCCCGGGACCCGTACGGCCGGCGCGGCCTTTGCGCTGTTCGGCCGAAGCAATGCTGATCCAAAACTCCTGCAGGCGTTGCATACGACTCGTGGCGTCAAAACTCATTTCCTTCACTTTCCCCGAATCGCACACAAACCTCACGCCATCGATGGTCAGCGATGTCTCCGCGATATTCGTGGACAGAATGCATTTGCGGACCCCTTCTGGCGATACGTCAAACACTTTGTCCTGTTCTGCGATCGATAGCGAGCTGTGGAGGTATAGAATGATCCACTTCTGGGTCTGTTTCGCGTAGTCCTTCAGCAGATCGCCGACGGAATTAATTTCAGACAAACCGCTCAAAAACACTAACAAATCTCCCCTTTCTTTCTGGTCGTACTTGTCGTCAATCATCTGAAGAATACGCATATAAGGGCTGCCGTCGGTTCGCGACGACCGCTCGTGAGCGCTGAACTTAACCTTTGGTATCGGGAAGTACTGGACATCAATCGGGTAAAGACGTCCGGGCACTTGAATCACCGGACAGTTCCCAAAGTATTCGCTGAAGAGTTGGATATTAATAGTGGCCGACATTAAAATCACTTTGAGGTCATGCGAGCGGCGATGGATCAGACACTTCATGACACCCAATAGGAAATCGCATGACAGGTGCCGCTCGTGGACCTCATCCAAGATGATCACGTTGTAGTTGGCGAGCATCGGATCGGTGGACACCTGACGCAGGAGTAGGCCTTCGGTGAGGAATAGGATCTTCGTGTGCTTTGATTTGCTTCTCTCGAATCGGATCTGATAACCGATTTGTGTCCCGAACTCGTTGTGTGTCTCATAAGCGACACGTTTTCGTAATGATATACAGGCTATACGTCTGGGTTGAGAACAGCATATGTTCTCATAGCCGCCGGACAACAGATACTGCGGCACTTGAGTCGACTTTCCACACCCGGTGTCGCCCGCTATCAGCAGAACCGAGTGCTTCGACACGGCGTCCAGTATCTGATCCCTGAACTGATAGATCGGTAAATCCATTTGCATTTGTCTCAACGCTTCCAACGCTTTCGCCCGCTGTTTGTCCAGAAAATCCAAATACAGGACACAAACGTTACGAAACTCTCGGACGCGATCGACGCCCAGACTATTAGTCCGGTAGTACCGGTCGTCCATATCGTTCACCACCGATGTCTTGGCCACGAGTTCGCGCACATCGCGCCACTTCTCCGGTATCTTGAGCTCGAGGTCAACGATCTTGCGTTCAATGGACTCGTAATACTTCTTCTCGCGGCCTTCTTCGATGGCCTTCGCCTCCGATGTCTGATATCTCTTGAGAAAAGTCCAAAAGTCTTCGTATTCTTTGGTCCCCACTCTTAGAGGCTGTTCGTCTTCGCCGGCGGCCGTGTTGTCCATGAAAAACATTTTATTCAAATCGTATCTGTATTTGTGGTAATTGAAGACATGGCTCGACACCGATTCCTCCTCAGTCTCCTCTCCATAGCCTCGCTGTTGATGTCTGGATGTGTGTCCGCGAGATGTCGATGAATGGCGCGATTGGTGGCCATCACGTGATGACCTCTGGTATCCACTCATTTGCCGCACATTTATCACTCGTCTTCAGGATATTATCACTTTTGGGAACAAATGGTTTGATTTCAAAAACAGCTGTTTTTACGATAGATTCACAAAAACGTTATGTTTTGTTGACATTCAATGTTTGTACTGAATAATCAATAAACGCCTCTATAATTACAGTGTTGTTTCCCCCGTATTGTAACGCATACTTCACTGCATAACCTTATAATATAAGTCAATGGGTCGCTGTTGTGCTGAAAAGACATTTATAATTTTTAAAGGGGAGACTAATAGACATTGAAAAGCCATTGCTTTACTTGAATAATAATTTACATTTGACTTAAAAATGTTTGTCAACAAAAGCATAAACACGTGTTGAATGACAAACGTATCGTTAATATTATCACTAAAACTATGGCCACAAATAGTACCGAAGATGACGGTTCCCAACACTACTCATTGGCCATCAATGCCTTACGTAAGGCCACAACCGATACCGAGAGGTTTAGCGCACTCTTCGTGGTCTGCAATGTCCTCAAAGACAGACCACTAACTGATGGCCAAAATGAAGAGCTCTTCAAATCAATTGGTACCACATTTTTATGTCGATTACTGCTCACAACCGACGGCCAGACCAGTGATGGAACAGATACTCAGGCTCTAGAGGAAGGGTCTCAACCCTATATCTATCAAACCATTGGTCTGTCAATTATCTCCGCGTTCTTCACCCGAATAGCCGATACCATCGATACTAAGACTGCCATTCAATTACTGTCCGCCGAAGCGTTGATATTAAGACAATTGAATGATTTGAACCGTCATTTAGATGATAACGAGCGACAAATGGTGTCCGATATTATCATTTGCTATGAGTGTGTCTTCAGTTCCGATCGCATCCGTCAAACAGACTTCAAGACATTGAACCGTTTATTTGAGACCAAATTCACGCAAATATTGTCGCAAATGAATGCAAACGAGAGATTCAGTGACTATAAGACATCAATCGATGGACTGCTGATGANTGAATGCAAACGAGAGATTCAGTGACTATAAGACATCAATCGATGGACTGCTGATGAAGATTGCGATCACCACTGAATGGTCTGACTTTGAGCCGCAATCGTTTGGTCTGTTTATCTCATCCGTGGCTCAAGATTTCAGTTCAACTCAAGACAAACGAAAGTTTGAATTGTGTCAACACTTGACAGCAATAATGAATACAAATCACAAGTTTTTTGTGACCAAACAAGAGATCCATTCATCGATTGGTGTCATAAGTGATACCATATATAATGTCCTCCGAAGCAAACTCAACAAAGAACTCAGGGATCCGATCGTTAAATTGGCCGCAAATCTGACCGAACTGTTTGACGGCTTTAAGTGGATCTACTCGTCGGCAAAGTGTTGGACAAAAACAAACGCAAAACAATTTCTACTTCTTTTGCGTTTGTCTTGCATTGAGGTGTCGATGAACTACGAGTCCGAAGATATAGACATGTCGTGTGTGGCCAACAGTTTCGTCATTTTAGAGCATTCGGTGCTTACAGTGGCCAACGATTCTGAAGAGCTATCACTTCTGCAGCACTTAACTCAAGAGGAGATATTCGATATGTTGACTGCCATTCGGGACACAATGCTTGTCATCATTGGATATTTGAAGCGATTCAATGCCGAAGAGTGCCCCGAACTCGATGTCGAGAATGACATCTTTGTCAGTATTTTGGCCTCAATTCGAGTGCTCTGTGTTTGGGTCACCGAAGAGACGGAAGCGCTGCGCGAAGACATCGCCACTATGTTGCCATTCATTGTGAAAGTGTTTGAAAAGACATACGAGAATCGGCTGTCGATTAATAAGACAATTCTCACCGGTTTTATAGCGTTAGCCGACGACCAGAGTCTGCAAAGAGTTCTATTGGACCAGAATTTGATCCCATTTCTGGACAAAGTGTCCGAAAGTAATGATAAATTACTTATTCATGAATTAAAACAGTTATTATTACAAAAATAAAATTAATTAAATATGAATTTTAAACATACATAACGTTAAAAAAAGAGTACATTTGTATAGTATTTGTCAAAAATTTTAAATATTTGTAAAAATATGTCTTAAATATTGCCATAAAAATTGTCATTAAAAGCGTTTTCAAAGATTCATTTCCTTTCCCCTCACGAGTTGTGACCGAAACTTCCATAAAAGCTATAATTAAATAAAAACAATCATTTCATTAATCCATTTGTTAAACACTATACTGATTGTCAAAATACATACACTATAGTCGTCAAACTTATTGCCGAACTTCTTGGCGGCCACAGCGAGCACTTCATTGGCTAAGTTCTCCTGAATGGTTCCCTTGACGTCGATGTAGTGACAATCGGCGGCCGCGAAGTGACACGATATGGCTTTGCGGAACCCTTTGGTCTGATTAGTGCCCGAGCCGTGGATCAGTAACGGATGAAATAGTATACAATCTCCGGCCTCCATCTCCAGATGGACCCGATTCTCCTGTCCGGACATCTCTTTGACGCCGTAATACATCTTATTGACGCCGCCCTCCCATTGGGGGTAATCGTGCTCCAGATGCGCGCCCTTATGGGTGCCCGGAATGGCCACAAGACAGCCGTTGGCCCTATTGATTGTCTCCATCGCAGTCCACGCGCCGATTATACGGTCTACGGGTCTGATCGGGAAGTAATGCAAGTCTTGATGCAATGGATGTCGAGAGGATTTGGTGCCCGAATCGGGCGGTTTGTTGATAAGCATAGTGTGAATGGCCATCACATTCGGCCCGCAAAACGCCTCCACGTATTCCAAGACATTCGGGTGTTTGCAGTACTCGAAGAGCACGTCGTCGAAGAACAGGTCCTGCAGTTTGTATACAGTGTNCATAGTGTGAATGGCCATCACATTCGGCCCGCAAAACGCCTCCACGTATTCCAAGACATTCGGGTGTTTGCAGTACTCGAAGAGCACGTCGTCGAAGAACAGGTCCTGCAGTTTGTATACAGTGTTCTCGTTCTGCGCCTCTTTGGCCACCTTTACCTCCTTCTGGACGGTCAGACCGGGAGGTGTCGGCACTCGACGGTTAGCGATATCGTTGAATCGTTTGCTATTTGTTTTAGTGATTGTTTTGATTATTGAAAAAATTTGTTTCAATTATCATTGGATGAAGAATTGAAAGTAATTACAGATATTTCTCGATGTCTTGCTTTGGGATCAGACTCTTGACGACAATAAAGCCCTGCTCTTCGTATTGCTTTTGCTGGTCTGAAGTCAACTTTGAGTTACCATTTATGCTGTACTTAAACTCATTGGTCTTTGGATTAGTCTTCGGGAGGGGACAAGAAAAACAGGTTTTATTTGCAAATTAAATAATGAATAAGTGATAAGAGATGTGCGAAACAAAGACAACAACAAAATTACCTCAATTGAAGCCAAACCACGGCTCGGGTTTCGCTGAGACCAGACATTAGCCGATATTTTACACACATTTAGACCCGTTTTTTGCAATTGAAATGTTTTTGTAATTACGGCAAACATTTTGTACGTGTTTTTTGGGTTAAATTAGGTATTAATTTACAATAATTGTCGTCACAATCGTTGCCACAAAAATATTGCACTGAATTATCAATAAAATTAAAAATCAAAGTTTAAATCAATGTTTAAATCAAAGTTTAAGTCGTTTTTAAAAACAAGAGTTCATTGAAATAATGCAAACATTTATAGATAAATGTTTTGATAAGAAATTATATTAAAATATATATTAAATTAAGAAATAAACTAATTTGTTATCAATTCATATGAAGGTTAATATTCAGTAATAAATCAAATCTAAAAAATCTTAAAAAAAGTTAACTAAAAATCACGTAAACTTTACAAAACTAGTTGGCAAACAAATTAAAATGATAACGTTAAAAACTATCAGGGTTACTTGCGTACAAATTACCTATATAATTTAACGTAAACTCTGACCAGGGTTATCTGGTCACCACTACCAGACCCTCCGATATGCGGTAAAATTAATAATGATTTAAATTAACAAAAACTTATGTTTAATTAAAGGGCGACTGATTTGTGGCTACTATTCATCGCAAATGTATGTCTTGTTTATGAGATGTTTTGCCAAACAATTCACTCAATGATTGTGTGAATGAATGACTGAATTGTACGCAAGATATCGCTGTTTAAAGCGATCATAAGTTTTACCATAAGATATCAATACACTTGAAGTTGTATTGAGAAGTATTGGGCAAAAATCATTTATTTATAAAATAATTTAATTAAGAACTTAAAATAATTAATTATTGTATTGTATACGATGTCATTCATTTTAAACATGGTATAATTATTTTGTCTGATTTATATCATGATGAATTATGAAACCAGAATGTATGCGCTTATTGTAGAATAAATTTTAACACATTTTTATTGTTTGTCAATTAATTTTAATCATATTTATATCGCTAATTGTATAACAATGTTATGTCTTATGGACTTGTTTTGCATGTTTATTAATATTACCACTATTAGTGGCACTGTATGTACATCCGGGCCAATGACACGCATAGGGCTTAACATTGTTGTGAATATTCATGTGATCTCTTAAATTGGGTTTCAATCGGAACCGTTTGCCACAGTCGGGCCATAAACACTGGAATGGCTTTTCACCCGTATGTTGACGTTTGTGATCATTGATAGCGCCGCCCGTCCACTCACATCCCGGCCAATCGCACCGGTATTTGTGTTGTTTGCAGACGAGAGGCTCCCGATTATGAACACGGGTTTGATGTTTGCGTTTTTGGTGTTGAGTTCTGAACATATCTTTACAGCCATCGATACGACACTTATGTGTCGATTCATTTTCATGTGTTTCTCTGAAATGAGATTCGAGATGCGTCTGACTCTTGTATGTCTTCCCGCAGTCAATGACATCGCATCTAAACAACGGTCTGTCCGCTGAATGGATCACCAAATGTTGGTTCAAAAGTACGTTTGTATGCGTTTGATATCCACAGCCATTATAATGACATTTAAAGGGCTTATCGTCTAAATGGCTGTTTTGATGATCTTTCAATTTATTCTTCACTTTAAATACTTTATTGCAGTCCTTGTATTCGCACTTAAATCGTTGATTCGTATGAAATTCAGAGAAATGTGCATAAAATCTCACATCTCTTGTAAAACTTTTGGTGCAATCATTTAGCGGACATTTAAATGTCTTTGTATTCAAATCATCTTGTATTCGCACTTAAATCGTTGATTCGTATGAAATTCAGAGAAATGTGCATAAAATCTCACATCTCTTGTAAAACTTTTGGTGCAATCATTTAGCGGACATTTAAATGTCTTTGTATTCAAATCAAAACATTTCTCTCTTTCCGTGCGATTCTTCTTCAGGATAGCAATCATTGATTCCTGTTTTACAGACTTATCGTTATTTAAATCCAAAGTATCTGTCGTTTCCATACAATTATTATCCGAGTCTTTAGTCATCTCTTGTTTCTTGTTTTCAACACAAATTACAGACTCTTTTGGACAGTAATTGTGAACAGACTTGTGATGAAGGCTTCGGTGGTATTGAGTGTAAAACATATCAACACATGAGTCGACATCACATCTATAAGTGGGGCCCCTTTGGTGTAGTCCTGAATGTTGTTTGAGATCATATGATGTCTTAAAGCACTTCCCGCACCCAATGAAGTCACACCTATAGGGCCTCTCAGATGAATGTCTTTGCAAATGTAAGAATAGGTTTTTCTTTGAAGTCAATATCTTCTGGCATTCGCTGTAATGACACTTAAACTTCTTGACAGTTGGTGTGGAAGTGCTTTGAGTGATGTGTGTCTTGGAGTGAACCTTCAGGCCTTTCTGATTGGAATATGATTTGAGACAATCCTTGTATTCACAACAATATCTAAGCCGTCGTTTGGTGTGAGTCATGGCGTGTGTCTTCAGACTAAAAGCTCTTTTAAACACTTTATCACATCCTTTGTATTCACACTTAAATGAATGGTTTGGATGAATGAAAGTTAAATGATTTAAAAAATAATTATCGGTTTCGTAACTCTTGTGGCACTCATTTATGGGACAAATAAATACATTTGTATTGAAATCAAAGTATTTCTCTCTTTCGGACTTATTTTGTCGCAACAATTCAGACATCGATTGCTTTGAATCCGATTTCATTGATATTTGTATTTCTCCTAAATTTGTGTCCAAAATATCTGTCGATTCAGTCATATCTTCATTCAATTCTTTGCCATAACTTTCATCCGAGTCTTCACTCATGTCTTCGTTGTTGTCATCCATTCTTTGAATTACTTCTTGTGTTTCATTACTTCGTCTCAATTGTCTGTCATTTGATGGACTCTTCTGTCGAAAAATAGATTCAATTATCACGTGATTGGCATCTGAAGTGATATTTTGATCATTCAATTGATCCAATGTTTGAGATAATGCCCGGAAGTGTTGATTGTCTTCTGAATCGATAAGTGTTTCATATTTTGAGTGAATTTTAATTAAATGTGTTTTCAATTCATTCAAACATTTGTTTGCAAACAATAACTCATTTAAAAGTCGTTTGTTTTCAACCATTAATTCATCCAAAATATCATTAATACTAATAATTAATGACTTTTTACTAATCATTGAATCCATAATTGCATTCAAAGTCAGATTTAAAACTAATTCACAATTAATTTGAATACAAATTAAGTGCAAAACTAAACAACAATTGAATCACAAAAATGTAAACAAAATCTTAAAACATATGAAAAGTAATGAGATTTTCAATGAATTACGCGATTTATAAAGTCATCAAAACTTTATAACTTAAACTTTTTATTAATTAAATTATAATAAAAATAGATATTTAACACAAATTTATTAATTAAAATCAAGTTTTGATACAAAATAATTGAATAATATTTTTAAAAACTAAATACTATTATAAATTGATAAGATTTGATACAAAGGATATAATACTGTACTTTAAATTGCGTTAAAATAAATATAAAAATTCAATCAATTTGTTTATTAATAAATTAAATTACAATTATTTTACAATTTTATGAACTTGTTTTGTATGCTTAAAAACATTAGCACTATTAGGGGACCTATATGTACATCCGGGCCAATGACACGCATAGGGCTTAACATTGTTGTGAACATTCATGTGATCGCTTAACATCTTTTTCAATCGGAACCGTTTGCCACACTCTGGCCATAAACACGGGAACGGCTTCTCACCCGTGTGTTGCCGTTTATGATCACCGATACCATTGCCCGTCCACTCACATCCCGGCCAATCGCAACGGCTTAGTCCGTGATAAAGCGGCGCCCGATTGTGAACACGGGTTTGATGTTTGCGTCTTTGGTGTTCAGTCGTAAACATATCATTGCATTCATCGATACGACACTTCAGTGTCGGTCCGCTTACATGTGTCCGCGAATGAGCCGAAAGACCTTTCGATCCCCTGAATGTCTTCCCGCAGTCAATGACATCACATCTAAACACTGGTCTCTCAGTTGAATGGATCTCTAAATGTTCGTTCAATAATTTATT